TCATCGGCGCCCCGCCGGCGCGTCCCCGCCCGACGGGCCTCCGACCCCGGCCCAGCCCAGCCGCCCCCACCGGGAGGCATGGCGAGGCCCACGAGCCGTATGGGCAAACGGACAGACGGCTCTCAAGGTCCAGCAGCCCCTTAACGCCCAGCGCCCGGGCGCCAACGCGTCCCTGGGGCCGCCCTGCAATGACTGGGGGCGCACTTTCCCGCGGACACTGGAGCCGGCGCTAGAAAAATGGCAGAGGGCACGGGCGCGTCACAAAACAACCGGGAGATTTATTGAGATAAATACAGAGAACGGTCGCCGAGAGGCCGCGCTCCGACGACCCGGGCCGACCCGGCTGCATCCCGGCGCCCCTGCGCGGGCCGAGCGCGCGCGTCCCCAACTCCTTCTCGCAGTTTCCACACTGCTGCGAGTGTCAGTTTTCTTGAGCCGGGAAAACGGACGGACAATTCTTGCCGCTGTTAGGAAAATGCTATCTTTTCTCCCTGTCTGTTTAAAATACAATCTTTGCATAATTCGGAGCAAACCACCTACAGGAGCGATGCATGAATAACGCTCTAAATCATCGCACGGATCGTCTATAAGGGAGTTGTAAAGTGCAGTCTTTAGTCATGCTTAAAAATCGTATTTCTAGCATGAATGAAAAAACCAACACTGCAGAAACACGCCTTGCTCCAGCAGATCCGGGTAGCAGGCGGCGTGAAAACCCGACACCGCGGCCACCCCGAGGCAGGGAGATACCACGTCAAAGTGGAGAACTGTTTTAAAATGCTCTTGCACGTTCGGAGTGAGAAAAGTGCTGACAGAAACTCTGAACAAGGGGGAAATTGTCCATTCAGGGAAACGCGGCGACTGTCCTATTGTTAAGATACTTTTCCAGCAGCTCTGTGGGTGAGAAACGCATTTGGACTTTTCCGTTCTTTCACCCACAGGAGGGCGAGAGTTCAAGTAAACAGGAAGCTTACACGGATGGTCGAACAACAAACACGCAAAACCCGTCCCTACGAGGATGGAAAACGCCACACAAACGATAAACTGATGGGGGTGGGGTGGGGCGGAACAATCTCTAAAAATCTCAGGTGTTACAAAAAAGAATAAAATGTAAGCTTTAAAAAAAGGCTTTTTTGTAGAGAAGTTAGTCATAAAAAAATCTTTCCATTGGAGAGACATTCATATTAAGTTAGAGAAAAATGTTAACGCATAAGCTGGAATTTGGGGTTATTTACCAGTCTTGTTTTTGCTACAACTCTAAGAGCACGTTGTGATTCAGTGTGTAAATTCTACACACAATACAAACTGAAGCTATTTTTTTTTTTCTTATTGGAAAATTAAGCTCTGCACAGAATACAAGATTCCAGTTGAATAATTCTATTTGCTGCTAGATCAACAGATTTTAACAAAACGACAATCTCCATTTCCAGGCAATGAAAAAAATTAAAACTGCTTGTTACCAAAGCAAGACAATATCTCCCGTCTATTCACCGTAGGCAAATACTGAATACAAGATGGATTAATTTTCTTCTTCTTTTTTTTAATAGATAGCCTCCAATTTATTAACTCACTCTTTGCTACCCTGGGCTACAATTTGAAATTCTCAGCCATGGACCTCATTTTCCTGGGCGCAGTACAGATCCCTTCCTCTCTTTTTAAAGGATCAGCTCCATGGAATTTGGGGAGGGGTACTAACATCCTGTTTGCCAGGAAGTTCACTATATAGCTTCAGAAATATTATAACAATAAATAAGAAAGAAAAGACAAGGCAAAAAAAAAAAAAAAATTGAAGGGCAGAATGGAATCAGCTTCCATGCCCTCTGCAGCTAGCTCTATGACCCCAAATGGATCGCTCCTCTTTCCTTCCCTTATCCCTGCCTTTAGAACATGGAAACAGAAATAAGAAAAGTAACATGAGCATACATGTATGCAGAAATCAACCAAATGTTTACAGAATCTTGAAGTGTTAATTAATGACAAACCTGTTTAAATTCTAGAGCATCTTTCTCTTAGTCTAAAATTTAAAAGCATGAAATAAGTTCCGTGCACTTAAGTCAATTTGAAGAGTATCCTAATTTAACATCCAAAACCACTGGTGTTTGTGGAACAAGTATATGGACTGATGAGAACTATGGTTTCCTATTTTTGTGAAGATTCTAAAGCATGAGATATAAAGTCAGTAGCCATGCATTTCAATTTATCAATTTCCCTCTTAAAGGTATGATAATTTATCCATATAAAAGTGAAAAATCTTTTAACTTTAAGCCTCTATCAAGAGCGAATACATATATTTATGGACACCGTCCCTGAAGAAGGGAAGAGGGTGCGTGCTTGAGGAAAAGTTCCGAGTACATACAGTTCATAATCAAAGTACAATATCAGAAAGACTGCCATAAATCGTTCTTTAGTAGATTTTTTTAAAACTCACATTTTTCAAAACAAACAAATTGGGCTATATTTGCAGCAACTCCAAGTGGAACATAAATTTAAATGATGTATTTGTTCTGTTCACTGATAGGAGGGTAAATGTTACATTAATATATTTCTTCCTGTCGAGAGTTATTTACATATGTACAGTATTCCAGTTAAAGATAAAAGATAACACCATAAACCATATTTTATAGGGAAGCCGAATATGGAAGTCTGTGAAGGACTTTAAAGCTTATAATAAACCACTTTATTGAGGGGGGAGGGCTTTAAATAAAATTGTATGTCACAGAGGAGGGCAATCGCTAGCAGACCATCTGATGGCCTACAGTTCCCCCCACGCTGAGCCACCTGGTTCTGCAAACTTTCCCAGACTACTACTGATCAGGCTTTCGGGGAGGGGGAGCCCAGAGCAGGCCCAGGATCCCTGGGTCACCCCTTGGGGCTGCAGACGGGAGCAAAAGGGGCCATGTGAGTGCTTGTTAGAAAGTTTAAGAAATCCTTCTCTCTCAGCAGGTACGATGCAATCATTAGTTCCCTTGAAGTTACGAAGCAGTATGTGCCCGGCATGAAACGACCAGATTGTGGTTGGCCAGAGTAGCTAGTCCCGTTTTTCCAGCACAGCGGTGTCCATAATATTCAGCCGCTTTGGTTCGAGGGTGGCAAAAAAGGAAACGTCTTGGTCCCGGTCTGACTGCAGGGCTGAGACAGTCTCTTCCACGACTTCAAGATGAGGGTTACCGGCATTTCTAAAATATGCTGAACAGAACACATGTGCTTGAGTCACGTGGGCCATGAACTGTGCTCCAAAACATGCTCTTGCTTTTTTCTTTAAACCACATCTCAGGGCAAAAAAAATCATTTTTCCCAGAATAATTATGTGTCCAAGTCCTCTAAAATGATAACATTGCTCTAATGCAGGAGTATTTCTTAAACTTTAAAGATGGACTCCCAAGTGTGCATATCTTAAAAATTACAGGAACTAAAAAAGTTTAACATTATTTTTTCTCCCCTCTAATCCCAAAGAACCGGCAATATGTGGAATCTAAGAGAAGGGTTGCTGGCAGGGTGGGGGTGGAGTGACAGGAAATGGATTTCTAGGGCAGATTGAAGGTGTTTTCCTGTATACGTGGTGCAGATATGAACTAGTTAAGGGAAACCAATCTTCCATTAAGTCCTGTTCAGGTTTAAAATTACTGACTAGTTTGGGCTGTAAATGCTTTTTTGTTGACTACAAAACGATACCATTAAAACCTAACAGTAGTTAAGGCTGAAGTTCGAGACCTCCTAGTTGCTGCCTTAACAAAAGGTAAGGTTTAAAATGGGTGAGTTCAGGAACAAGCCCACGTACCCTTTTCCAACAGTGTCTGCCTGAGAGCTTTGGCTAGCAAAACCCGTACGTTTGGCACAGGGTCCGATGCCAGGCTGAGGAGGCTGGGGAGTAAGTGTTCCACAAACTGATCCACAGGGATGCACTCGGCACTCACCACCGCCTGGGAGGAAAGTCAGAGTCAACGTTTTCGGTAGGGATTGGCACGGTTGTTCTAAAAACGTTGCTGTTATTGGGTGCCATGGAGTCGATTCTGACTCACAGTGACCCCGTGTGACGGGGGAGAGCTGCCCCATAGGGTTTTCTTGGCTGTAATCTTTACCGGAGCAGATCTCCAGGACTTTCTCCCGCATAACCAATGGGTAGGTTCGAACCGCCAATCTTTCGGTTAGCAGCAGAGCACTTAGCTGTTGCACCACCAGGGCTCCTTCTAAAAAATGTACGCTTGTGTAATTCCAAAGAAGTAATTTCAGAATCTCTAGGTTTGAGAGGGGTGTGTGTGTGTGTGAATTTAAAAATCTCAACAACTGCATTTGGTCAGGGAATCATTACAATTCCTTTCCAAGCACTGGGTTACACGTGGCTAACCCTCAGTGGAGAAAGCAGAATCTTTGGCACCAGACAGGTTTAGGTTCAAAGCCTAACTTGGTTGCTTGGGGAAGCAGTTTAGCCCTTGGAGCCTCAGTTTCCTCATCTGCACAATGGGGATTCTGTGAGGATGGCAGGTCATTTATGTAAAGCACTCGCCAGGGAGGGAAGAGCCGGGACCTCTGTGACCTGGGCTCTGAGGGTGGGGCCCTGCCACCCAGATCTCAGAGCCTTGTCCAGAGCCCTGAGGAGGCCTGGTGGCGCAGTGGTTAAGCACTCAGCTGCTAACCTAGAGGCTGGTGGTTCAAACCCACCAGCCACTCAGTATTAGAAAGCTGTGGCAGTCTGCTTCCATAAAGACGGCAGCCTTGGAAACCCGACGGGGCAGTTCTACTCTGTCACACGTGGGGTCACTATGAGTCGGAATCGACTCGATGGCAAGGAGGTAAGGGGCAACCCAGAGCCGAGCCCTTAGTAAGCAGCTACTCTGTCCCGCTCCTGCCGAGAGCCCCCAGCACCCGCACGACGCTTCTCTGCTCACAGTTTTCCTAGGTCATCTCACTGAATTCTCACCCTCAACCGCAGAGAACGGAGCCCGGTTTTACAGGTGAGAAAATTGTAGCCCAACGTGTTAGTGCCACCCAGAAGCCTCCCGACCAACAGCGCTGGCAGGCTGACTCCAGCTGTGCGGCTTCTCCGTCCCGTGGGCCTCTCCGCGGAAGGGTGACCTGCGCTGCAGCGGCGGGCACGCTGGCAGGCACGGGGCTGGGAGCTCAGGTGTGCCTTCCCATTACAGCCTGGGGCAGCACTGCCAGGCAGGTGTGCGCACCGTCACCCCCACCGAGCACCTGGATAATGAAATGCAGGGCAGAGACCACGGTGCCCCCGGCCACTCACGGCGGGAAGCCATGGAGTCGGGTTTCAAGCCAGTGCGGTGACTGCCGCGGGGCGGGCGGGCGTCTGCTCTCTTCCCGTCCAGGTGAGGGCCCCTCCCTGGAGCTACATTTAAATAACAATTAACGGGGCCCTTCAAAGGTACCCCTGACGGATACCACTTCCTTTTGTTTGTGTTAGCCTAGGTCTTCTAAATCTTTAATAATTAATTAGTGAAAGCAAAAAAAAAAAAAAAAACATTTATTTTTCTTGAACAAAATTAGTTGATGTCTTTTGCTTGTTTTATTGTGGGTTTTCTAAATCTCGGGTTCAGTAAAAGCGAACATTATTTCATGTACTGCCTCCCCGCAACGATGTGGAGCGCTGACTTTTTCCTCACTGACGCCTGCGGCGTCAGGCCTGGGGTCGGGGACCGAGGTATCACTCCGCTGCCCTTCTCCAAGTGGACGCCAAATGACCCCTGTGATGCCCCTCGGGCCCACCAGGAGGCGGTGGCGAGTCCTCTGTGGGGGTGGCTGGGCGGGAGAGGAAGCGGGCTTTGGGGCCTGAGGTCAGGTCAGTCCACCTCCGCGCCACCGGACAGCGGGCAAAGCTAGGAGATGGCGTCACAGAGACTCATTTTACTGTCCCCTCTACTCTCATACATGCTCGAAAATGTGCTCGGTAAAAAGTTAAAACGTTAAACATAACACTTCACCAGGAAAAAGAATCACGGCTTTCTATTCCCTGTGTGATCTAGAGCACAGCACTCAGCCTCTCTGGGCTTCAAATGCTTCCTGTGACAAAAGCTGGTCTAAAGGTGAGTGGGTGCGCCATGCTCGACACACGGTGACTCTTAGTGTGGAGGGGGCCATGCCTGAGAGGATTCCCGGCACACAGGAGGCGTTGAAGAAGTGACGGCCACCATCGCTGCCTCTGTCCCCAGACAGAGGGGAGGCTGCTGGGCAGGCCCCATCAACTCCTCACTTCCTTCAGCACAGCTATAAACCACTTGTCCGAAACCCGCCATTCCACATGTTTACAGAGGTTAAGTCCCCGCTGCCTGAAGTGACTGCTCTGTCCTTCACCCCCACCCCCTCCCTCCAAGGCAGCTGACTAAGGTGAGGGGCAGTGAGAGACATGGCCCTGGACGGGCCCTCCCCCGACCAGCAGAAGATGTTGGAAGAGCAGGGCCTTGTCCCCTCTCATTCTCCAGCACCCAGAGTCCATCTGCACACAGTAGGTGCTCAATCACTGCTGTGGAATGGGTGGCTGTACCAGCTGGGCAACCCTGGTTAAGTCCCTTCAGCTCGCTGGGTGGGTCACAATCTCAGTAAGATAAGGAGGGTGGGCCCACTGGTCCCCCGTTCCCGGCTAGTGCCCAAGGGTTGGGATTCTCTCTCTGGTGAACCTGATGTCAGCACGTGGCAGATGGACACCAAGGGACATGCTAACCTGACAGATGAAAGCGAAAGCTTGCCTTCCAACCCACTTAGGGCAGTGCCGGAACCTTATGATGAGCTCGCTGATGAAGTTTAACCCCAAGGCACTTTCGCTGTTGGAGTAGAACTTGCGCAGAATTGCGACAGCCTGTGAAAAACGTCAGGAGAGCAAGGGTAAAACGCGGCCTGCCATCTGTCTGAATTATGAACAACCACTCCGCGTGGAAACGAGACATTTTCACGCACCCCTCCTCCTTGAAAATGAATTTATAAGCATGAGAGAAGAGAATTTTTGTCACGGTAATCATTAGAACACAGAGAAAAAAGATGCGGAAGTATACGGCCACACACATACACACACTCACATGCATAGAACCCTTCACAAAAATGAAATTTATAAAGGAACTGATGCGAGAAAAATACATGATTAATCTTAAGGTTCCAAATGTTAGAGCCTGTCCTCTTGCATAATAACTGAATCATCAACTTTCAGAGCATGTCATTTTTATACAATTCTAATACCATCAGAGTACCCTGGCAAATGAGTGTTTTCAAATGGGATTATTTTTTGTCCATATTCAGCTGGGATAAGCCCACATAAAACAGAATCAGCTTCTCTATGCTGCAGTCTTTCCTTACTAAATACTTTTCTACAAAAACCTGCTGTACAGCAAACCCAGCCCATATTTAAAAGAGACACTAAGCCAGTATTTATATGGTTTCATACAGAGAGCGATTTATCTGTAATTTCCATCACTGAAGCATACAACTTAACCAAAAAGCTATTTTTCAAATTAATACAACTATAATATAGTTCCTCATTTCAAAATTTAAAAGCTGGTCTCATAGGTAAAGCTGCCAAACTAAGCCCAGAAAAAATAAAGGAATTAAAATGGAAGATAGGTAAGCATTTCTGTTTGCAAAAACCACAAAGAGAAAAAAGCCTTGATTCCTTACTAGTTTGAAGGAGATCCACCGAACTTCAGAAACTTGATCTGCACACAGCTTTAAGGCAATATGCACTAGGTAATCATACACATCATGGGGACTATAGAGTTCCAAAATCAGAATCAGCTGTCTGAAAGGGAAAACAGAAATCAACAACAACAACAAACAGCTTGTGAATTTCTCATCCTCTCATTTCCTCTTACAGATCAAAACAACCTGGCCGGAAGAGGATAGCAGCGGGGCCAGGCAAGGCTATCAATGGAAAAATACAAGAGCAGAGAGCTCCCTGAGATGTACATGCCGAGAAGTGTGGGAGAAAAGAAATCTTAATTCTCCCTCACCAAAAAAAAAAAAAAAAAAAAAAATCAAAGAAAGGAAATAAATTAAACTTTCTAAAACAGAGGCTGAGACATTTATGAAGACGGACTTAATATTTCAATGTTAGGTTATCATCTTGAAAGCACATAAAACTTTGTAGAATCAGATAACATAAAAATAGCCAGGAGGCTGAAGCTCCCAAAGATCGGCTGATGGAGGGAAAACTCAGATGAGATTTCTTCCACGGCCCCTCGGTGTTCCTGCAACTGCAGATGACATTTTCTGCTTCGGCTTGCCTGCTCAGGGCCTGCACTGGGGTCTCCTGAAACCTAGCAAAGTCCACCCAGAGCAATGGAGCCATCTGCTCTTGACTCCAAAAGAAAAAATGAAACAAAAAAAAAAAATTCATAAGCTAGCTGGGTGAGGCCACCTACCTCCGCGGCTGTCTCTGTTTGCTAAATGGGGCCGGGGGAGAAGGAGAGGAAAATAAATGGCATTATTTCCACACAGGCCACTAAAGGAAATGAACAAGCTATCGGGAGGAAGTTAGAACCTGATGCCAGGAGTGCTGGTGGCTGCTCTCATATCAAAAAGCACTGTTTTCAGAAAAATGATACCAATATCGTGGGCACGGGAACACGGAATTCGTATCTGCGGCTCTGGCTTCAATAACCAGGCAGAGATGGGAGATAGGGCGCCTCCGAGATAACGCGGGGATGGGCGCCGTTCCCGGCCTCACCAGCAGGCAGGCCGCCGGCCCCGCAGGCGCCTCGCCCGCGCTCCCGCACGCCTCCGCTAGAGGGCGCGATGCTTTCGTGGAAAACGCGGGCCTGTTGTTCTCTCTTCTTCTAGAACACTGAGCTGGGAACACGGCATAATGACTAAAACCTCAATCTCTCAGATTAAGCATAATGATTAAAGATCACCGCAAAGAGAAAATCTTTGTTTGCCCCTGGCATCGGCCAAATCACATCCTGAGTAGCTGCAAAAGCCTGATGAATTTCTGCGGGGCAGACGTTCGTGTGAGAGAGGAGAGAGACGTGCAGGAAAAACAGCCCGGAATGCATCTCCACCCAGTGAGCACGCAAACCCAAACCGCCACCACCACAAGCAAATGCACGCAGCGCCCCAGCGAGCACCCTGTACACCTCAGGGAGGAGAATCAGTTACGTGATGTTTTTTTCACTCTTTTAAGAGCCGTGAAACCTTTAACATCTCCTTTTTGCCGGCACAACATGGAATTAAATAACTCCTTCACACACAAAACGATGTACAGATAGGAGCCACCTTGGGGAACATTTTTATTTAATAATTCTCTGAGCTGGGTCAGACCTTTTCATACTGCTCACGCTAGCGTGATTTTCTTTAGGAGCTGAAGCAGACAGACCACGCTGTACCCTTCAGAAAGGATTGCACTCAGAATGTTCAAGAAAGCTCCGGCAAAAGCTGCTCTGATTAATAGGAAAATATTGAAGAGCAGGTGATTCATCTTTTATTCGGTTCAAATAAATTGCCTTCTAGAACAGCAGAACACTCTGATTCAAAAGTGACTCTAGCCCTGTCTTCGTCTGAAAATGAGTGTCTCCCCGGAGACCGTGGTATTTGTTACTTGAGTTTGGAATTCAGTTTATCCCTAAATAAAGGCGTAATCTCTTTATCCAAAAGAACACTATCACTGCTAGTTTAGAAATCAATTATTAGGTAGGAAAATGAAGAATCATTCCATCTCATTTGCCTTCTGTCGCCTGACAGGGTCTACTTACTCTGCTAGTTCATATCGAAACCTCCAATTCCTGCTGTTATCAGTCACTACAAATTCTTGAAGCTGATAAAGATATTCTCTCCTCTTGTCTGTGTGAAGCAACTGTTTGAAAAACAGGTGTATGTAAATAAGCATATGGACTCCCTCAAGATACCCACAACCACCCACTGTTAACTGCATTTCTGATGAGACGCTGGTCACCAGCAGGGACTCTGCATTTTCTAGGACCTCGTCGCCTGTCACTGGCGTGGCTGTGAATCAACACAGCGTTAGATGAATGCTTCCGACCTTTACCCTGGCCAGCACATGTGCTTCTGAATTTCTCAATGCCCCTAGGACCCCGTCTTCATAATTTCCTACCTAAATAAAACAAGCATGTGTGTGCTCAGAAATCCTGCTGTGTCACAGGCAGCAGCTGCTTCCCAGATTGTTCCTCTGCATTGGGGATGAAGCCCGGACCAGTGCGGCCACACACCCGAGTCCCTCAAGGGCAGCTCTGGCTGGCGTGGATGCAACTAATTAGTTTCTCTAGGTCATTTTTAAACTCTTATTTTTAAACTCATCGTTCTTTTAGAAGGAAGAAAGAAAAAAAAAAGAAACAAGAGAAGCAGCAGCGTCTTGCAGAGGGACTGAGATTGGATTTCGGCTGCGGCTTGTCCCTGGGTGACCTCCGGGCACATCATGTCATTATCCTAGGCCTCAGTTTCTCCTTTATCACAGAGCATGCGAGGTTATCTATCTAGCATCCTCCCCAGAATTAAAACTCTCAAAGAGGAAGATTAGCAGGAAAGACATAAAAATATTCACCCTTCACTGTGGGGAAGAGTAAGAGTTTAAGATTTGGGATGGATGTTTCAATGAAGAAACCGAGACGCTGCTTTTTTTTTTTCATCGACACCTTACATATCCGGGGTTTTAAAAATGTGGGTGGAGAAGAGATTTGTGTTTTGCCTTTCCTGCTCCTTCCTACCTTTAGAAAATCGTACAGGTGTTTAAGGACCCCAATGCGCACTTCATCCAGGTCCTTTAAGAAGCCGTTGAAGATGGGCACCAAGTCGGCTGCCGTCAACTGGTCCCCAAGAATCACAGCCAGCTCATGAATGGAGAAGGCGAGGGTCCGACGCACTGTCCACTATCAGCATGCGGCAGACAGACAATCAGAGAGACCAAGCTGAGGTCAGTGTTATCGAGATCTTAAATGGCATTTCTGGAGCTAAACTAACACTGGCAAGTGTTGGCCACAGGAGGCTTGATTTCATCCGAGACCAGTCAGTATGCCCGTCTCCACAAAAGCACAGAGCAGTGAGCCTGGGGCAGCTTCCCTTTCCGTCCCAATGAGGGAGCCCACCCCACACAGGGTGTGCCACTGAACAAGCAGCTTTACCTGTACGTCGGAAGCCAGCGTTTCGTAGGTGTCTTTCAGGCAGTGCCAGTTCTGCCGGCCCAGGGTGAGCGCCACCCCGGGGAGGCTGTATGCACAGTGCTTGGCTATGTCGGTGTCCACGGTCTGTGCGCGAGCTGGGTCGGTCATCGACACGTACTGGTCGAGTAGGGGCTGAGGGATGATGTCCTGGGCAGTGGGAGAGAAAGGCAAACCACCATGCTGGCGTGAGAGGTCAGAACGGGAGCATGAAGGTTCCAGGTGAAAACAACCAAGCAGAAATGTGGAGGCACCAAGAAGGCCTTCCGAGAGCCACAGGGCTGTGGATGGACGAGCTTCTTAGTGCCCAGGGGTGAGAGGTGGGGTGGGGTCCCAACTTGCACTGAAGTTAAAGCAATGTCCACCACTCAACTTTTTAGAATTAGTATGTTTGATATTGCATAGGAAAAAGTTTAAAGAGTAATGTTTGGTTAGTCTAGAGACACACAGCTCCTGAGGATGGAGATAGTCTTCGCTTTTCTCATAACTGCCCCAAGAACAGAGGGCCCAAGACCCTAAACTGAATCATCACTGTGTTTTCCCAATGACGGGACGCAGCCTTCAGAAAACATCATCCCACTGATGTTTATTTCCGTGAGGGCAATGGGATACAACAATTACAGCGCATTCAAGAGGGCGTATGTGGCACGAGAACCAAATCCACCAGCCAGAACAGGGTCCAACAGCTTAGCAAATGAAGCTGCCAGAAACTTTCTGGACAAAAAAGGGGTAAATAACCTGCATTAACAGATGCTAAATATTGATGTATAGACACCGATTTTTTTCTCATATTTGCTTTGTTAAAATATTATTCTAGATTGTTCAGAGGACTTTAAACACACATTTTAGAATTCCCTTTTTTTTAAGTTGAGAGGTAATACTAGCAGCTGAGATTAGAAACTAAGAGATGTAGTTAATATTGATGGAAGAAAAGTACTTTGGTTCTGGCAGCCATTCTTATATGTAACTTGCAGAAGATGGAATGTTTTGAGTCGCTTTTCTTTCAAGGAACATGCATGCTATTCTCACAAACCTGTAATTTAGATTTATTCTCCTCGTGTGGGGTTGGGTCGCGCCTCAGCTCAGCCTGCACAGGGTCGCTGCTCCCGTCACAGTCTCCGTCTGGACCCTGCAGAGTTAACTGGGCATGTTACCAACCTACTGCATAAGAGGAGGCTGCTGACTGCTCCCACTTCAGTGAGCCCTCTTTCAATGCCAGCAACAACTTCTGCAAACCTAGACCAGAGCTTCCCTGGAGGAAGTCAATGGCATCTCTCCAGATGCTAACAACCCCATCTGCACAGCTGTATAGGATACTGCATAGACCAGTTAACGTAAGTGCCAAGGAAAACAGACACTGCACATTCCCATTTCAAGGCTGCTGAGGCCCTTACGAAAGCACGAAGGCGAGAGCTGGTCAGTACCATCAACTCGGTCTGCACGTCCTGTTCTTTAGTGGGCCGGTTTCTGAGGGTTAACCAATGCCCTCAGGTAACACTCACGTGTGTAAGGCACAGACAACTCTAGAAGGATGAGCCTTGCAGAAATGCTGGAGCCAGCAGCTCTGGCCTTTCCCGGAAATCAGAGGTGGCAGCCGCACTGGGCCAGGGAGAGGGGACGCAGCGGGAGGAGCCCATTTAATTTGAGGGAAAAGATGTAGCTGAGAAAAAAGTATTTACCTAAAAAACTGTTCTCGATTTTCACATGTACAAACACTCCTAATATTGGCTGATGAACCTTTGCGTTAGGTTAACAATGAAAATGAGCGGGAACATTCAACGGTGACATATTGGTCTCTGATCATTGATTAACATTAACTGGGATGGACCTGACCTTCTCCTTCAGCCATAACATGTATTTCCTACTTGCACTTGAAATGTCATACTGTCTACCAGCTTAATGGGTTCTGACAAATCAGCTCAATAGGATCCAGGAAAGTCGATTAATATACCAATAGTTGCCTCGTCTGCTCGAAGGCATGCTACCAGAACCGTCAATTCCCAAGGATTTCACTGAAATGCACTGTTTATTTTAACAGACCATGGGATAAAATGGAAAGATGTTGGCCTGATGACCTAAGACCTCAATTCCTCCAAGTTAATAAATTTACATGTACTAATAAACTGTGCCACTAGAATCCGTTATTACCCCTTTTAGGAATTAATTTTATTCCAAAGTCTTCAGAGCAACTGTTATGTATGGCACTTATTCTAGGAGCTGAATTAAAGCATAAGTAAGCCACTACAAGTCATGGCAACCCCAAAAGGTACTGTGAGTTCATTTCCCCAGTAAATCCCCACCATGGTGGCACCACCCCCAAGCCTTGCCTCCCATCTCTGACCGAATCCCGATTCCAGGCAGTGACTCACCCTCCCCACAGGAGTATGCGCTGTACCCAGCCCACCATGCTAACCCCATGAGGCCAGCGGGGGAGGTAGGGGCAGAGTGGGAAGGGGCCTGGGAGGAGGCCGTGAAGTGTTTCTGGCCCGGGTTTTCCTTGTTCCTCAGAGGGACAAATGGGAAGAAATGGTCCCTCTCCTACTGGGTGTTTTCATGCCCACACGGAACAGTCAGGACAAAGCTGACTCACTAGAGGTGGCTGAGGGGAGGGTGGACGGTGCCAACCTCTCCCTTCTGCCTGTCTTCCCATGTGAGGGGACACTTTCCTCAGTGTTTAAGCCTCTTTAAGTTTGTTTCCTGTCCCTTCTTTTGCAACTGGGAGCGTCCTGACTGACCCCACTGGAGCCCTGGCGGCAAACAGGCCAGTTCAGGGGCCCAGACTTCCCATGCCATGACACCAAGGCTCAACCGAACGCACCCTTTAAGACACAGGACTCAAAAGAGCAGCTCTGCAGAATCTGCTCTTTGGTTTCACATCCGTTTATGACAAAGAGGCCCACACGTTTACCACATCCCTCAAGGCGGCAGACGCACCCACGCCTTTCTATCTCACACGTGGGACACTCCCACTCCAGCTCACAAGGACAATAACGTGAGTACCCGTGCCTATTGTTTTCAAAACAAACAAGCAACACAGGGTGTCACCACATTTCTTATTAGTCAAAGACAATCTTAATGAGCTCTTAGACATTTTACCTTTGGGCTTTTGAAATACGTGTTTTGTTTTACTCTGCTTTATTGGAGCAGGCCTGGGGGCAAGGAAGGTGATAGGTCAGTCCAATCACTAAAATAAAATTATAAACTTTGTGCATCGAGAAACAGCTAGAGGCCCTAGAGACCCTCAAGTTTGAAGACATTATCCCTCGTGGCAGGTGCTGAGGTGAGGGGACCGAGGAACTGAGGGCTTTCGGATCACAGATGCCACTCTAATTGTAATTCACTCTTCGCAACCCAAGGAGCCTTGGTGGTGCAGTGGTTAAGCGCTCAGGTGCTAACCAAAAGGCCGGCAGTTCAAACCCACCAGCCGCTCTGCGGGAGAAAGATGTGGTGGTCTGCTTCTGCCAAGACGACAGCCTTGGAAACCCCATGGGGCAGTTCTACTCTGTCACACGGGGTCGCTAGGAGTCGGAATCGACTTGATGGCAGTGAGTTTTTTTGTTTTGTTTTGTCTTCTTCTTAACCCCTACTCCCCCTCCCCGTGAGAGGCCTTAGCTGAAAGTGGCCAAGTGGAAGCTTAGTAGGAATTAGGAAGGCACAGGAGCCTCCAACCACAAGCACGTTAGAGGCTTCTGGAGAGACTCCAAGTAAGAAAACAATGCTCTGGCTCCCTCCTTAACCGCTGCCAGGACCCAGGTCTCCCAGAGCCAGGGACTCCCAGGGCCCGACTCCAGGCTGCGGGGTAAGAGATGGGGAGCTGGTTGGTAGTCACTGCTGGGTTTTCAAACCCTCTCCTCTGAGAAGAGACATGTGGTATCGCTACCAGAGCAGCCATGTGTTAAAGAGCTCCATCAAATGAGATGATCCATCATGAAACCTCCGTCAGCCTTAACTTCTATGAACTGCACGAGCTCCCTCTCCACCGTTAGAGATGGGAATGCCTGCTAGCAGTGAAATGGAGCATTTCTATGGTTAATGCCCCTAAAAGCAGTTCTCGTCACCTTTGGAGGAGAGGGAAGGCACTTTTTGGTCTCCCCACCCTTGTTTTTGTGGAAGAGAATCAGGGTTATCAATCACCTGATTGATTGGTTGTCTAGTTATCCAAAACATGACCTTAAGAATAAAATTAAATTTGCCATTTATCATCTCTGCCGGGATATGTTAATAAAAGCAAGCGCAGCTTTTGTGATTTCTGTCACATCCTCGGTGGCTGAGGGATCGGGCAGACACTCACTGTGCTCTGTAATATCCTGGCCGTGCCCAGCGCGTCCAGAGAACAGGAGGCAGACAGCTCCATCTGACTTCCAGAGGCGGAGCGGGGGTCCGCCGCAGACACTTCATTTAGATCTCCTGCCGGTTTGCTCTGGGACGCGCTCACCGAGTCAAGCTGTGCGGCTCTCAGTGCGGCTGATAAGACCTGAACTTGAGCTGGATGGAGGGAAGTTTCCAGAATTTTAATAGCTTTTTATTTGGTTTGGGGGGTTCACGTCAGAGAAGTCTTTCTTCAAAACAGCACAGTGCACGTGAAGCCATATAATGCAGGTGCGCCACACAGACACACACTCCACATGTCTGCGCCTGGGTGCAGGTGTGCCACACACACACACTCCACACGTCTGGGCCTGGGTGCAGGTGCGCCACACATACACACTCCACACGTCTGCGCCTGGGTGCAGGTGCGCCACACACACACACACTCCACACGTCTGCGCCTG